CATTCGTGCTACAACTATACCAGTAATATAGCTGCAGTATGGGTCTATCACGTATAAATTGAAAATTTCGAAGATGATCCCATGATAAAAAATATTCACGTTGACGGGAAAAATCATTCCCTAAGTTATTAAGTACTATTTTGTTACACCTTTAGTTAGTATATATAAGACTGGGGAAAAAGTTTCTTCGTATATTGTATACAAATTCAAGACGTTTTTGTTTTAAAGTTTTATTACATTTAATTATAATATATATGGGTCCACTCTGTTCGATAATTTGTTACCATCTTGTAGGTAGTGAAATAATAAAAAATAAACGTTGCTGTAGAAATCTTGGGATTTTGATTAATAAAATGCGACAAGTAGTTTTATTTGATATATACAATACCAGAAATTTGAAGGAACATGGATTTAGTCATCCCATTTATAATGGAAAAAAAATTATAAACTTAAATATTTAAACCTCCAGAAAGCTTTCTTTTAAAGAACACAAGCAACAAAAGAAAATAATGACTAAAACTTTTAAACCAGTTTTAAGTACTCAAGCAAATACTGGATTTTTAGGAATGTTAGTGTGTATTGAAAGTCTCAAACAGATAACTAATCTTGTGATCTGGCGTAATCATGATGAAAGACCACTCCTTTTCTGATTATCAATGCCAGACGTTTCTTTTTCTACTTCTTGCTTGTCTCATTATTTATTGGTAATAGAGATCCGAATCGATGGTTTTACCCGGCGCTAAAAGCTCATGATAAACTTTCAATACCACCATACACACAGCATCATTTTATTTCGTGTTAATGCAGGTTTCGCTTTAGTCTGTAAACAAAACACATATCACATACAGAAAAAAATCACGTTTCTTATATGGTCTTCATACAAGAAACGTGATTTTTTTTGGGTCCTTTAATATTTTACTTGTTTTCTTTTTTATTTTATGTTGTTGTAGCAGCAATATAAATACACATTCTATGAAACTTCCAAGTATCTACATATTACGGTTCATAAGATACAGCCTACTGACAGACAGACGGAACGATAGTGGAGACTTGGGTCCCGTTAATACTCTTTGGGTACGGAACCCTAATAAATGGCAATTATGTCATTTGAACAATACTACAGAAATAAACATTAAATAATATAGAATTAGGTTATATTATAATAAGTTTATTATATTATATTATAAAATATAGTAACAATAAATTCACGAATCTCAGCCACGGGGAACTTTATTTTTGCATTCGCGGCAACACTGAATCGCGTCATTGATATTTTGTGACTTATTTATGGCTCGTGTTATTTTATGTTAAAATTTCGAAATTGTATGATAATTAATGATAGTATGTGATTCCAGTGTCTTTCTTATTTCTTGTAGTATTATTTTTACACAGTTTCAATACGTAAACTGGTATTTTACTTCGGATTGTGATCAAAATTTAATAAAACTTTCGGTATGTTCACCTCACACGTTGCCTGCAACGCGACTGACTCGGGTACGCCGATTTCAGAGCGCGCGATGACTTATCATTAATCTATGCACTGTAGATTAAAGATGTCGTTTCTTGTAAAGTAACGTCCATAGAATTCTATATTGTGTATGTTTTATAGATTATAGTATTCTATGGTAACGTCACATATACTCGTACACTACTACAATAGGGATGCCATTTTTCTAGTAAATTAGAAGATACGAGTGTACTTACTCTCATATTTGGCATAGTATAAAGAGACCAAAGATGACATCTGACATTTCTATTTCCACGCATGAATTACACACAACATCTCTCAATAGATTTGTCTCTTTTTGCGTAATTTCAAAATAAAATTAGGAAAAGCGAGACAAGTATATTGACTTAATTTATGTAAAATTGTAGGTTCGCTCTATGCATACGTATGTAAGTAATTACTCTAAGGTACCACAATTCAAATTTCAAAAAAATATTCAATGTACAGAAATCGTCATGTTAGAGTTTTATTATAGTATGGACACAGAATAAATAAGTAATGGATTTCTTTGAGGATGCTACGTTTTTTAGAGTTGATTACCGACAGTTGCGAAAATTAAGTTTGGCGTTTGCTATATTTTTTTCTTTGTGTCTTAGGTGGCGTAAGAGAATCCATCATCCCATTCTTTCCGTGGGTGTCGTAAATGGTGTTAGGAAATACCAGACTATAAACTATCTCGTTTACACCAGACAAAAACATCCAATGGGGCGGCGGGCAGTCAAAGGTGCGAGACATCTGGTGCGAGACCTGATACTGCTATTATCAATTTATTGCTTCATTTCTCATTACTTCAGGAAGGGCCTATGCCTAGCAGTGGCTGAAGAAAAAGAAAAATAAATTGTTTTTATTATCATACAACCCCAAGTTTTGTAAGTGAAAATCCTAAATAACGAACTTTAAAGGAGAGTGTTTTAAAGTTATATTTGGATTCTCAAGACTGTTTAGGGAGGGGAAGGTGTTGGATGTAACTGTAGGTTATAAAGGGTCGTAGTATAGATGAATCGGGTCGGTAGTTAGGTTATTAGAGGCACCATTGAGTGGTGTATAATGAACACATGGCACACATAAGAAATCAAAAAATCATGCGGGTATATTTTTTTCAACTTTAGTTTGCTAGTGGACTTAAGTGCTTTTACAGTTTAATCACGATGTCGGACAAGCGCGCGGTAAAGGTCTTAAAATGCAGAACTAGGCAGTAACCAGGCTAGGATGTAAGTACAATGTTATGGTTATAATTGCAAGGTAAAATAAGACAGACACTGACACATATTGAGAAAGGCACACTGGCTGATGAAATTAATGCATGTCACAAGGCGTCGCCATTTTGATCCAGAGTGGAAACATTGCGTCGGAACTTTATATTGACCAAAATTCAAATGCCTATGCAAGTAAGCTGCTACAAATCACAGAGTCGACTGGAAACAGCCGGTAATTACAAAATTTGGCATGCAATTTTAGATGTACTTTGCCATCCAGTGGAGACATAAGGCGAACTTATTGCACAACTTGTCCCCAGTTTAATGCATAGGTATACATAACGAAGGTTGGTTATGTGAAAGGTCAGTGCTGTCATCCATTACCGTTCCATTCTATCAACAGTCCACTGTTGAACATGTTTACCTATAAATTACTTCATAGGGGGATGTTTGCCATAGTCTGTAAAATCTGCGGTTGCCAACCCCAGGTGAGCGATTTTTTAATTTTTTTGGTTGTTATTAGGAATACGCTGCCGCCCATCTCTTGGTTTGCGTACCTTACTACACCCACGGGTTGATACGGAGTCAATCATCTGCTGTCATCGATCAATCAGTGCTGTCATCGAAAAAAATCAATCATACGAGTTTCTCAACTTCATGGAGTTAAAGGGCGTGCCTTCCCATAAGCTGGAGCTAAAAGTTAGCGTCCCAGTTCTCTTTGATGCACCGAGATTGTGCAACGGAAATATTAAAAGGACGCTATTCTGATTGGAGCAACTCAAGGAGAGTGTAGTTTAATTCCGCACATTCCAATAATTTTAAATAATTTATCATTTCATTTAAAAAGGCTACAACTCCCGTAACAGTTAGCACCATTAAAAGTTCTAACTGAACTTTTAATGGTGCTACACTGGCGGGTATTCAATTGGATACTGCGTCCTTTTAGCATGTTCAGTTGGATGTTGTTTGCGGGTATAAGCGCCCAAAACTTTGCATGCGGGCGGATAATAAATTGATAACAACGTGATTTACAGGTAAATTTTACATTAAATGTTCCTAAAAATCTTTCCCATTTACTGCAATGTAGGCAACTTCTTTTTGTTGTCGTGATTTGCGACCTTAAATCGGCTTTAATCGTTATTTTATTCTTCTAAAGTTAAAGCGCTGCGTTGATGATTTGATTGATATATAGACAACCTACCTTCACTATTAATGTAACGGTATGTTATAAATATAGATACCATAAAAATTGGAATCACTCGTGAAAGAAACCGTAGACGATAATTTATTGGAATTATGACATTCAAGAGGTTACGGAGGGAAATGAAACAGCAGCTGAGTAGCATCTTCCTGATCACAACCCAAAATTAAAAAAATAAACTCCTGTTGGCAACTCGCCTGCTAAGCGTGGCAACTATGGCAAATACTACGAGGCAATCTATTATTCAACTATTACTATTTACGTCAACTGGCTTTTTGCAGTTGTGGAGTTATAGATGTTCGAACAGTTATAAATAGAGGATAGTTTTCCAGGTATGGTTTTGTGTAATAAGCAATTTTCTCAACGATAAACAACATTCTTGTACCTCCTGAATAAAAGCAGACGAAGATGTAATACAACTAGAATCTGAGACCGACGAAGACATACCAAAACTAATAATTTGTATGTTGAGAACATTTGCTTTTATGAGTTAGGAGTCGCAAACCACGTAAAGCTACCAGCTGCGGGATATAAATAGATAATAGATTTTAATTAATGGCGGTCGGTAAGCGGTATCGATAGTTTACTATTAGTATCTAAAGCCATTACGATATTGCCACCTTGAATATATTCAAAATGAAGCAAGTCTCAATATTATGAGTAGGTAATAAGTTTTACGGAATATTCTTGTAACTTATGAAAATTATTTTACATAACTTCAAAATACAGTAACCTCACTCTACGTTAATCGTACCAAAATTAATAATTAAAAGCTCTGAAGGTATCCTGGGTTAACTTTGAGATCACAGCGCTAAAAGCCTCTATCTATGGGTGCTGTAAAGTAATCGAACCGTCGGGGATTAAAAAATAACATAATATGGGTAAAATCCGTTATGAAATAAGACCTTTTTGCTTTAATGTATAATGTTTTTAAATAATGCATTCAATAATTATGCGAAAGTAAGTAATGTATGGAAAAGTCGGAAAATGACAACCATAGATAAATAAATATGTAGCAAGGTAATGTCAACGTAAGACAGTTAAGTATATTTTGATATTAATTTTATTTAATTAAAAATTGAGGGAGTAAAGTGCAATGGATAAAAGAGTAACGTATTGTACTGATTTGGAGAAATGTGTGATAATGAGTAACTTTGAACGTCGTGGTTGGACCCAGGTTGGGCCAGAAGATGACTGGAATTTTTACTGGTCTTTTACGCAAAATTGCCGAAATATTTTTAGCATTGAAAGCGGATACAGAATGAATGACAATCAAATTATTAATCATTTTCCAAACCACTATGAAATATCACGTAAAGATTTGTTGGTAAAAAATATTAAGAGATATCGTAAGGAACTTGAAAAAGAGGGCAATCCTTTAGCAGAAAAAATGGAGGTAGTACTGCCAAACGGTCATACCGCCACGCGCTATATTCATTTAGACTTTATTCCCGTAACGTATGTTTTGCCAGCCGATTACAACATGTTTGTTGAAGAGTACAGAAAGTCACCGCAAAGTACGTGGATTATGAAGCCTTGCGGCAAATCGCAAGGTACGGGAATTTTCTTAATAAACAAGCTTTCTAAACTCAAGAAATGGTCTCGTGAGGCTAAAATTCCTTTTCATCCCCAACTCGGTAGCAAGGAAAGTTACGTAATATCTCGTTATATTGACAATCCACTTCTGATCGGCGGCAAAAAGTTTGATTTGAGACTGTATATTTTGGTAACATCGTTTAGGCCTTTAAAAGCGTACTTATTTAAACACGGTTTTTGTAGGTTTTGTACAGTAAAGTACGACACAAGCGTTACAGAATTGGATAATATGTATGTACATTTGACAAACGTAAGTGTCCAAAGACACGGTGTTGAGTATAATAGCTTACATGGTGGAAAAATGAGTGTACAGAATTTACGTTTATATTTGGAAGGCACACGCGGTCGGCCAGTTACTGAGAAATTATTTTCCGACATGCAGTGGTTAATAGTTCATTCCTTGAAAGCTGTTGCACCAGTAATGGCTAACGATCGTCATTGTTTTGAGTGTTATGGATATGATATTATCATCGATAATACGCTTAAACCGTGGCTGGTTGAAGTTAATGCCTCGCCCTCACTACAGTCAACGACTCATAACGACAGAATATTGAAATACAAATTGATCGATAACATAATTTCTGTCGTCGTTCCTCCGGATGGAATTCCCGATGCGCGATGGAATAAAATACCTACAAGGGAAGCATTAGGTGATTTTGAAGTTTTAATTGATGAAGAATTGATAGAAAAGGAAGACTCCACTTTACGCCCTACTAAGAACAATCGCTTTAATAATGGTAGATTTTAATACCAAATAACAAGTTGATAAATTTGTAAATAAACTGTGAGAATATGTAGCAAATTTTAATAAAATTATAAAACTTTTTGTTTTATTTTTTGTATTTTCAAATCGATTTGTAGCAAATATCAGTAATGCGCTCTACGCTTTAATTTTAGAGATAATAATATGCCTGTATTTAATGCGTTAAAATTACTAGAATAGATTGAGAAAAGGTCCAAATGTTGCTTTAATAAAATGTATAAGATTTTTTAATCTTTAAATGGAGTTTAAAACGTGTTAATTTACATTCTATTTTATACTTGTAGTATAAATAAGCAAGCTATATAAATGCTCTAAGAATTTATCTATGCATATGAGATTAAAAATAAATATTTTTTTCAACCCTCAAGGGTTATAAGGAATAGGATTACAATTAATATCGACTGCTGTAAAATAATAATCCTTGTTTAAAGTTGGATGCAGGTGCACATTACTCGGCGCACTAAGCTTGTATGTCACTTCATTTTCTACCGACTTCAAAAAGGTATGTATGTTCTTTTTTATGTGTGTTGCCTCAACTTTTTTCTGGGTGAACCGATTTCGATGTATTTTATTTTATTTGAAAGTTGGTGCTCTTCATGTGGTCCCTTATAAATTCGATCAAGGTCAGACTAATAGTTTTTGAGTTATGCTTAATAATTTATAGTGATGTCGGTTGTACAAAATGTTTAAATGAATATATAAAGTCAAATAACTCGTCTGGCTAATCGCGCGATGAATAATGCATTTAAAATCTTTAATTGAACAATTTAATTGAAATCGATTATGTCGATTTTAAGTATACAATCGACTTTTACAATAAATTTCCTAATGAGAAGTTGATAACGTGGGTAGACTGTATCGCACCCACAATCATTTTTTATATAATTAACAAGCTTTTATTGGCTTTTGTGACATAATGAGGCTTCGTTATTCCATGGACATAACTTCAAAATAAAGAAACAGCTCTGAAACTAAAAACGCGGTACCTATCTAGATGGACTCCTAGAAGTGCAGTTCTTAAATTAAATATTAGTTTCAATAAATTTATTCAGAAACAAGTTATTTTTATAAGTTTAATTCATCATCAATTTATCATCATTAATTACGGTACGATATAGATTACAAGTATCTTAGCTTGCTCATTAATCATTTAGGTAAATGTTATTGCCATCTCTCTGGTACAATATAAATTGTCGTCAAATAATTAATTACTCATCCATCATTTACTTTATTCTGTGATGTTTAAAATTCACATACGTTTGGCACAGGTTTCCTTTCAATTGTGAAAACGGGTTTCAGGGGCAGGGATAAAGGGTGCTCCGGCAGCTCGCCTTCGGTTTGCTGGCGTAATTCCATCCATACATCCTCTACAGGGCGTAGATGTTTGTCCCTTTGAAATGGATATACCTGTCTCGATACAGGAGAAAATCCTAGTATGGGCATAACAAAAATTAACCAGAGATTCTTGGATAATGTAGTGAAGTTTCTCAGTTATAAATTACTTTTCAAAATATACAGTACACTTTCCAACAAGACTACTCTTCATGACCAATTGAAACGCTGCTGGAGAACATTGTTCCGGACTTGAAACCTGTTCATCGTCCAGTCCATATACGAACCGTTGGACTACAGTCATGACAATACAAGTGGTCCTATAGAGTAAACTAAACAAAATTCGCACTCATCGTCGCTTGACTTACTGATAGACGTAGTTGACATGTTTGGCATTTCTCTTGAATCCGAGTCTATCGAAATGCCGAAAAAAGTGTTAAAAATTTATTTAATTTTTTTTAGACTAAGACTTTTAGAATAAGGGTGACGGATGAGCATACGGTCCACCTGATGTTAAGTGGATGCTTTGACCCATAGATATCTACATTTATCCTAAATTAAGAATCAAAATGCAGATGCGTCGTCACCCCCGAGGACTGAGATGGAATGCCTCGTTTCCAGTAAAAGGGTTTTCAGTTCGTTGCACTCACCATATGAAACATTAAGCTGCTATTTTTCGTTGTTATATAATTTGCTATTATATATATTATTATACCAGTTACGGAAAAACTTTTTAATAATCTTTCAGTGTTAAAATAATATCCACGTCAGTTATGGTATTTGCATAATAGTCTATTTTGAAGCTTTTATTACCCAAGTTCGATACATAACGGTGAAGCAAATAAAAGAAACAGTACAATATTGTTTTGTAGTTGTATTTGTAGCAATATTTAAATACTTCCAACATTATACAGTATCCTTAGATAATTTACTCTCTAGATAACGTGTCACGCAATGAGCGATGCAACAAAAACAGGCGAGTTTTTACAAGTGTGTGTGTGTGAGGCACGCACACACGCTTAGCGGTTGCTATGGTAACAGAATAATTAACTATGACTAAAGGTGGCGGCGTCAATGGTGTTCTGACTGCGTTAGTCAAAAGGCAAGGCGTAGTGAAGAGTGCACGCCTTGCAATACATAACGCAGTATTGGTACCGACTTTGTTATATGGCAGCGAAACCTGGGTATGCCTGAAGAAGCATAAAAGCAAGTTGAATGCAGTGGAGATGCGATCTCTTCGTAAAATGTGCGGCGTTACCATGGCCGACCGAACGCGAAACGAAGAGATTCGCAATATGGCAGGTTTGAAAGATGACCTTATCACAAAAAATGATAAGGGCGTGCTTCGATGGTTTGGGCACGTTGAGCGAATGAGTGAAGACCGAATGGTGAAGAAAATATATAGCGCGAAAGTTAATATTAAAAGGTGTCGAGGTAGACCGAGACTAACTTAAGACCATGTGAGCAAATTGCTCGAAGAGGGGAGGGTCAAGAGTACTCGGATACCTAGACGTGCATGTATGAAGAAGATAATGAGACTGAAAGAAGCGAAAGAGTTTTGTAAAGATCGTGACACTTGGCGATCTGTTCTCTCTGGCTACCCCGTCATTGATTGTGCGTGAAGATAAGTAAGTAAGTAAGTATTTACCGGATTCAACTCCGTTCCCATGCATTTTATTTGCGGATGACGTATCATTGATTATAAAGAATAGCCATAGAAATAAACATTATTATGAAAATGACATAAAATGCGCAATTAATAATGTTGTTTCATGGTTACATGACAATAACTTAAAGGCTAATATTGCTAAAACCTGTTATGTACAATTCTATAGTAATATTAAAAACAAACTTGATCTTGACATAATGCATAATAATGATAAACTAAAAGAAAACGAACAGATGAAATTTCTGGGATTAAAAGTTGACAGTAATTGTAATTGGATGGCTCATTTTGACGAAGTCTGTAAAAAAAATTAATAGATTTGTATACGCCCTAAAGAGGTTAAGCTATTTTAGCTCAAAAAAGTGCCTTAACTGGAGCTAATTGGTATGAATCATGTAAGCCCTTCTTTAAGGAGCTTAACATCCTAACTTTACCAGGAATGTATATATTTGAAGCAGGTGTTCATGTAAAAAGGAATTTACATATGTACAAGAAAGCGTCCGATGTATATTTCCGTAACACTAGAAAATCAGATAGACTAGTATTAGACCGAATACCGAAAACTGCATTTTATCAAAAGGGTTGTTACGCGATGAGTATAAAGATATTTACTAAAGTACCGGTAAATGTTAAAGAAGAGATGGAAATCGGTAAATTTAAAACCAAACTCAAAAGCTGGTTGTTATTAAAGTGTATTTATGATATAAAATACTTCTTAAATGAATAGAATATCGTTGCCTAAACTTGACATAGCCATGGTTTAGACATTTATATTTATTTGATGTTCCTTAGATTAAATACTCCTTTGACATTTAAATTTTTTTTCTATATATACTTAATTGACTTGCCTAATTATAAAACAATAGTGATTGACACGACAATTGTAATTTTAATTAATTTAATTTAATATAATTCCTTAATAAATACATAAAATTATTGACTTGCTTACTTATGAAAATAATGATTTAATATATTATGTTAAATAATTTTCGCATGCCAACTATGGTAAACATGTGAACTATGTACAACTATTTGTCATCTTTAATGTACCATGTTTAGCGAATAAATGATATTATTATTATTATTATCGGCTTCAGCACCCTAGAAAACCATGAAAATGACACCCATGATGAAGAAATTGATACCTATTGTGGACGCCATCTTGGATTTACATTTCGACAACCCTATCGGTTTCAACGCCCTATAAAACCATGAAAATGTCACCCATGACAAAAAATTTATACTACTTACTTTTAGTACGTACTACTATTATTTATTCTGTGCTTTTAAAATATTGTAATAAAAAAATCTCTTATTATTATGTATTATAATCAAGTATTTAAGAAATTTCGTTATTCGAATATTGTGTTATTGTACAGCGATCTTTTTGAGCCGCTGCAAACAACCGAAACGATGTCAACTCACGACGGCGACTGACGCGGAACTGCATATATATAATGAACTCTGTGCCGAACTGTGTGAGTGAGTAAACTACTCTGTGGCTCCCCATTTACAGAAATAATTTACATACAAGCCTACCAAGTCAACGAAAATTTCGCTATTTTGGAGCCGAAAAAAATTAATTATAGCTAAACAAAACAAAATTACACTGCCATTTTCATTCAGTGGCTTCCCACATGATAGATGAAGAGATTAAAAAAGAGAGTTAAACAATTGACATTTTCAACAGTTATTGTTTTTACAAGCCTTGGGAACATAATAAATCCACACCATGAGCCACTAAAACCTCTTTTTTTATTTAAAAATAGCAATTAATCGATTTAAAAAAAATTTAATAAGTTCATTCAATCATTTATCTTTCTAAAAATGTGCTTTTTATATTATTTATATGTATAATATGATTGCTAGATACGATTTTATTCGATAAAACGTTGGAATCTTAAGTTTTAGACGATAGTACATACCTTGCACTTTCGCTTAAGGCATGCAATAAATAAAATAAGTATAGAGTCATTATATACTATTA